GTTTTCCCGTGCCTTTGCCCCTTTGGTTCTTGAGGCTGGCTGCTCGGTTCTGTGGCTTTTCTGCTTGGTTCCCGTGGACTTCCTTCTCTATTTTGCTGTACCGTTTGGGGCTGCTGTGTTGTGGCTTTTGGCCTTCCATTTTCTATTTTTAATTAAGGTATTAAGTAGATTTTTATGGGCTGTTTAGCTGCCTTCTTTTGCCTATATATAGAAGTTGTTTTGGATGGTTAAAATATGGTACCGTTTGGGGCTGCTGTGTTGTGGCTTTTGGCCTTCCATTTTCTATTTTTAATTAAGGTATTAAGTAGATTTTTATGGGCTGTTTAGCTGCCTTCTTTTGCCTATATATAGAAGTTGTTTTGGATGGTTAAAATATATGAAAATGCAATTTTTGGAGTAAGAAAACCAGAGGGTTTTTTGGAAAAGCTTGAGAGCTTTGTTCATTTCTTCTTCTTCCTTCTAGGAAAGCTTGCGAGCTTCTCCTCTTTCGTCTCGACCTCTTATCCCTTCTTCTCTCCGCAAGATCGACGCCATCAGTATCTTTCTTCTCAATGAATGCAGGTTTAGGATTTTATGTCAAAGTTTGTATGCGTCATTAGTATGTGTCGTTTGTAAGTCCTTTTATAATAGTAAAGTTTTATTTTGTCTATTTTGTGTAATTTTCTTTTATCCTAGGAAGTCTAGCTTTTGCTTGCAAAATTTTGGGAAGGCTTCCCAAATTTTTGCTTGCATCAAATATCATATCCAAGATCCTATATCTTGCATAATATACAGAAAATTTTCAAAATAGTCCCCAAACAATTCGTGCATGGGGAATTTAGTCCCAGAGTATCATGTTATACCAATTTAATCCTTTGACTATATAAAATTTATCCAAAATAATATCTCATATTGTAATTTTAATATAAAAATGATCTCAATTTAATCCTTTGAATTTATAAAATCATTTTGGATCAATTTTGTATAGTCGAGAGAGTAAATTAGAGCAACATTATACTCTAAAACCAAAATGACTATATACAAATAATTGGAGGACTAATTTGAAATTTAACCCTTGTAATATATATTAAAAAATAATAAAAGTGATTTAACTAACTAAAGTTTTCTTCCAGCATAATATCACTCGAAAGTCATAACAACCTTTTATGAAGTTCAAATAAAAACTCTATACCATTGAGCTTCTTATGGCAGTACAACAAGAAAAAAATTGATCACAACTGCTACAAGAGCAAGGAAGAGGATGAAGACTACTTGGGATTTGAGATCAAAGTAAATGCTTTCAATTAAATTTATTAACAAAATCAAACAATGCTTAACTCCGACCCAGCCACCCACTCACCTGCAAACACATGCAGGAGGCACATGCAAGCATGCATGGCGTGTTGACAAGAAACAACAAATATGTTGAATATCACATCGCATCATATTTGCATGCCAAATGCAAAAAGAGAGAGAACAGAGAGAAAGAAAATAGAAAAAAGCAGGGAGAAAGAGAAAGAGAATGTACATTATCATAGTACTGCAGGTTATAGCATGCCATAGTGTGAATTTGTAGCATCCATGCACTGAGTAAGAAAGTCTAAACACAGATCATACCTCCAAAGTGATGACACCACGAAAGTGTCTCTCCTCTTGCTTCTTGGTGTATCCAAGCTAATCAGAAATGAAGACCAAATGCATTATTTCCAAGCTTAAAATTTCAAATTAGAACAATAAGCATTTTCAGCACTAACTTTCAATATCAAAATGAGCAAGAGGACACTAACCTTACCACTCTTCTCATTTAAAACAAACCAACGTCTACTCCAGCCGTTTGTCTTTGCACTTTTTTTCAATAAGAAACCTGCAAGAATAAGAAAAAAGCATCATAACGATGTCATGAGCAATAAATATACTATTTATAACAATATCAGTTCGGAAAACAACATGTCAGTGATGTCCTAAAGTTCAAAGTTTTGTGCTATACAGGTTAACAAATCAAGTTTTAACAAGTTCTGGTGCCTCTTTCAGAGTCATTAACAGCATGCTCAGAATAAACAGAGATGCCATTTCTGTAAACCTGTTACATGCCACAATAAACTAGTTGCGGTTTCCACCAGGATTAGATTTGAAAGTTATAATGGCTATCAGAAATTTTATCCATCACAGCACCGCTTACAGCCACAAGAATAATCACAAACAAACCAGCATATAATCATTCGTGGTTTCCATTTCCTGAGGTTATATTGTATACTTAACTTTCAAATTTAGTTTTGAACATGCTTACTCATAAAGCCACAAATTTGTAACAAAAAAGGGTCACATAAATGATATATCAGACTTGGACAAGCCAACAAACTATCTTTTTACTTATTTTTCTTTTTATGGCATGAACAGCCAAATAAAACGATTTTTCAGACTAAATGAAAAAATTCAAGTTAAGCAAATATACCAGCGGTTATCTCTCCACCAGGCCCAGCAACCTGCAAATTTGAACCGTCTTTTGCATCTTTATCTTTTTCTGAGTTGGACTTCTCTTTCATTGACTTCAAGTTACCACCTGATTGTTGGTGTCCAGGTTGAGGACTTGCTGCCTAATATACGAATAAATAATAATGTTTCAAAACGAAACACCAAAAAATTAAAAAACACACACTCAAAAACCAAATAAGCAGCAAATTAATCAGGTCACTGTTCATATAGTGTATCAAATGACATAAATGTACAGATCAAATAATGCATGTGTCAAAACGAAAGGGAAACACCCACTCTGTTTAGAATAGCCTGTTCAGCCTCATGTGCCTTCTTAGAAGATCGGCTCTTGTGTTCTTCTTCGCGCCGTTGTCTATCCATCCTGCTCACACATATACGCATCAAAGGGAGCATGCAACCAATTCAAACAGAGGAAAGTTCGTAGTTAAAAGGAAACAAGTAATCTGAATAGTTTACTTAAGGACTAAATAACTTGAGGTAAGTCATGCATACCAATAACATCTTAAGCATATTGAATTTGTTTAACACAACCAAACAGCATAACACACCAAGTTAATGGCTCTAAAAATCTCAGTACGACAAATTGTCCAACTACAAGAACTAAGAACCATAAACAAAAGGGAGCAACTTCAAAGCAATTGTTTAGAAAATAACAGAGTATATAGCACCAAAATGATTTCCAGATCTGATAAAATGCATTTTCTGCAACTGAAGCAAACTACCTTCTCTGCAATAAGCGGATAAAGTGTTGAGGAGGAACAAATGCACGCTCCATATCAACTAGTGCGACAACCATTTTTTTTGCCTCATTTCTGAAATTTTCTAGAGCATTTGTTGCAATTGCAATGACCTTCCCAAAAGAGCAGCATAAATTAAAAAGAAACCACCATAACCTATAAATGTTAAAAATGAACTTGAGAAAGAGAAATAAACATAAACAATAATAACCTCCCGCTTGAATGGAGGGTATCTTCCAAGTCCTGGTGTGGCATTTGCAGCTGCAGAAACTATTTCTATCAAAACACGGTGAACCTGCCCGCCAAAGTCACATTGCAAAATGAAGAAAAAGAAAATAATGAAACAAAAAAATTTAGAAAAATTTAAACAAATGGATAAAATCATATGCTTCGAACTCACCTCCTCCACACAAAGACGCGAAGGTTCTTTCGCAAGTTCTAGAACTCCCTTAATTAACGACCTTAAACCTTTCTCCGGAGAAATAAGATATGGTTGATAACCATCAGCTTCTAGCACAACCTAAAATGTAAAATAAAGTAGAAAACAAAAATCAGGAATAACATTATGGCGGCATGTAATCAGAATGAAAAAGGAAGTAATTTTACATTACCCTCTTAACATTGTTTATGTCAAAGTGCTTGTCCAGTGGAAGCTGTTTGATCTTGTTAGGAAAGTTTCCTTCAAAACTTGCAACAACTTTCCAACCCCCTCCCTATTTAGCAATTAAAGAGACATCAAATATCATCGGTAAATTTCAGAACTGAACTAAAAATAGCAAATTCCAGTGCTGCTGCTTTTATTATATGATAAATTATTCGATGCTACACCAAGATCTCATATAATCCTATCCGCATCCATCATACTTGCTCATGAATACAAAGGTTCACTGCTTCTACCCTGTCATTGTCGTAAATTTTCACCTCTCTGCATGCCACCTCCCCCCGGCTCCATTTTTCCTCTTCTTACCTATGACTTACTTTTTCCACAACCCCTTATCCTTTTTCTCCTTTTCTTGCTCTCCCTTGTATTCGTCCTTATAATTCAAATTTATACTTTGGACTGCACCGAGCTCACCCACCACCTCAAGAAATTCCCATTTTATACAATTCTCCCTTCGTTCATTCTGCTCCTGATGGGGACATCAGCAGCGATTTCGACACATGTACCTTTAGGAGATGCCGGAGATCGACGACCACGATCATGATCTGTATTTTCATCATTTTATGTAGTAGTTTATTTTTATCCCCCCCAAAACCCCAAAAAAAAAAAAACATATTTTGCAAGTCTCTTCTAACTCCTACTTAAATCCTCGTGATTGATCTCACTACCTCTTTCTACCGTCCCAACCCACTCTATTTGATTTTTTTTTCAAATGGTTAACTCCTTAATCTCCATTTCTAGTGGTCTATAATTCTCCTTGTGTTCATTCCACTCCCTCTCTCAAACCAGTCTATCACCCTTTCCCTTGTTAGATTTTACTACCTCTACATGCCTCATAACTCCCTCCCCCAAATTTATTTTGCATGTCTCTTCTAACCCATCCTCTTTTAATCCTCTTGATTCACCTCACTACATAGTTCTACCTACACAATCCACTCTCTATTTTTTTCTTTCCAATTGGCTAATCCCTTCCATCTCCATTTCCACCATGGTTTAAAGGATCGCCGAAAATTAATCTAAAATGTTATTTCCTATCAATTTAGGGATAAACGACCTTAAAAATCTTCTTTTTTTCTATCATAAAACTAAACAATTTTGATCAAGTTTTGCCTTATAAAGAACAGACTCTGCCCATTTCGAGCCCATAATAGTGTCCCACCATCATTATGATAAATCATTCAAGAAAATTAAATGAAAATGAACTAGATAAGCATCAAATTTGGGATTACATAAACATATAGCAAACTCATTCCTTTGAACCATGCAAATCTCACGTAGTTGTATCATGAAATAATTTATATAAATATTTTACAACGTGATTTCTCCAATATTATGATCCAATCATGTGCTCAAGGATGTGATAAAATACAATCATTTTGGCTAAGTCAACTTAATAGAGATTTTAGCTAAACATAATGTAAAAAATGAAGTGGTAGCAATGAGAGTGTATTGAACAATAAAAAATAAAAATTATGACTAGTTTATACACTATATAATATTTAAATATTATATTATATATAATTCTTTTCCACGAATATTTTATGTAATTCTTTATTTAAAAGATTATACATAATTAAATAATCATAACCTCTTTTTTTAATTTTAAATAAATTTTAAAACTATATTTAATGAATGATATTTAAAATAATTATTTCTTACATAAAAAGATGAAACCAAAAGCAAAATAAACACTAAAATTGATATTTCTAACATAAAATTGACACTAACTAAAAAAGATGAAACCAAATGCAGTTTGTTAAGTTAGTGGATATTAACTTTTACTGATTAAAATTGATATTAATTTTGGATATACCTAGTAGCATTTATAATTCTTCATGCTCTCCTGAGTATTAACATATTGTTTTATTTAGATATATTATATTAATGTACTATCCATACCCTCAAATTATGTCAGCGTCCTACTTTTTTGGAACTAGTCATACCCTTGGACAAATGTTATTTGGGAGCTCATTTCACTTGTTGTAACATCAATTCATTGGTTTTTATCATTCAAGCAACCTCCTTTCTCTTCTTGGTTAAGCTTAGCAACGCAACAAGAAATGGACTATCTAATGAAGGGGTGCAATTTCTCTTGTACAAAGAAGAGTTGGTGCATAATATGAGCCAAGGTGGGGTTGTTCATCCACTGCTTTGAACGCCAAATCTCAATGGTATAGGAGCAATTTTATTACAATAACTATATCATTTAGTTTTGCATGCAATTATTTGCATTTATTGACGTAGAACTTAGAAAATATGTAACACATAAAATTGCATAATTATGGACCACATAATCTGTTTGTTGCATATAGGCAAGTACCTACTGCCAAAAAAGCTATTAGTAGTGATATATTCAAGCTACAACAATACAGTTAATGCTTCTTTTAAGTTACTGAAGAGTTTTTATAAAACAAATGTGGTCCGTTTTGCAACAGAAAGTTCCATAACTAGTATATTAATTATTATCATGATTATCTTTATCTAAACTAGTTAATGTTTAGTATGTTGAATACGAGTATGATTGAAATATCAGTGCAAGTTTGATACACTAACCTCACCAGAGGTAATATGCAGGAGAAAATTGTCCTCAAACTCACGACAAAGCTCCAAAGCAATGGCCCTGGTTCCTTCAGAGGTATGAACCATTTGTTCACCAAGCCTAAACAGTTCATCATGAACTAACTGTGACTTACTCTGGAGCCTGCAATATTCATGGAAGTGAATCCATATCAAACCTATTCAAATTAAAGTACTTATAGCACAAAAAACTAGCAACAATTACATAAAGCAAGGTCCAAAAATTCAGGAACAGCACGTTACTGGTTACTGACATCAGATAGATATTTGGTAAGTAACAAAAAGTATAATGCTCACAAGCTATTTAAAGCGGCCAAAAAAGAAACTTTACTGAATAAATATGCATATGGAAATGCCTGTTTCCCAGACTTTGAAAAAAAGGCATCTTTTCATATATGTTTAACTTGGATGACAACAGTTTGTTACAACAAAAAATTTATGAATATAAAAAATCAAGCCCAAAAGAACAACAAAAAAAAAACATTAATAATTCTTTCTAATAAACCAACACAACTATACAATTCCAGACTCCTGATTTTCTTAGTTGACACAGAATTATGATCAACATATCCAATTTGGTGCAGGTGAATTGGCACCGTTGCAGTACAAAATAAACTTCAACGGTTATTACTTATGATTCTCTTCAAAGCAAAGCTCTGCCAGATTGCTTTGATACTACAAGCTTGAAGCTTTTAATTTATGTGAAGTGTATGATTATAATTCTATAGCCGACCCCATATAGTGGGATAAAGGCTCTATTGTTGTTGTAAGAATATAATTCTGAAACTTATGCTCACTTCTTTGAATGAGAAAGATAAAGGCATACATTTCAATGTGTTTATAGGGAATCCATCACATCCCTACCTCGTGATCTGCTTTACTATGGGACATGAATACCATTTCTTTCATTTCATAATATTTCTCTAAAGTAAATTTCTATTTTGGTAAAAGGATCGTTGACTCCACTAACAAAAACTTTTTTAGGATCGGAGTTATGAGAACTAAAATATGTATATATCATAGAAAAACAAATACAAGAATTTTAGCCCATTTGGACAATATGAAATGCAGTTTTCCATTAGATTAAAAAATAAGAGGAAAGCTTATCATTCTTTTAATTTTCTTCACATATATAGAGTTGACACATAGATCAAATACTTTATAACATCATTTCAAACTATTCTCATATTCTATCTTAGATGGGCTGTAGTTTGATTTGAACTTTATTCAATGACATATCAATGATAATCAAATATTACTTCTATAAATATGGTTTTGTGGATCTCATTATTTTACTTATAATTAAGCAAAAATATTAGAATCCCTCGCATCTTTTTTATTGATTACAAAATCTTATTACATATTTGGAATTCTATTAAAAGTATGTAAATATAACTTCATGAAGATTAGGATTCAGGTCTCATTGCTTATGCTTCACTTGGTTAGGGGTCACTTCACTTTGGGTTCTAAACATTGATAAATAAAAATCTTTAATGTGTTCACTGCATGATCAGAAAATGGACTCACCATTAATGATAGGATAGGGTTGGCAATCTACTTGAAGCTCACTTGAATTTTGAATCAATTCAGAATTAAATCAACATATTTCAAGTTGATTATCAATCTTAAAAAAATTAACTCAAAATTTTTCAAGTCAAGTTTGAGCCTATTATGTCTTACTCGAATTTGATTCAAGTTGACTAAAATATTATTTACACATCTAAGTTTACATACCATTTAATAATTAAAATTCATGTTTATCTAATGGTTAAGCTGTGAGGGTTTGAGCCTTCTACTTCTGCATCTTTGTTTTTAATATTTATAGCATTGTCCCCTTCTCATACATGTTGGATTTGATCCAACGATTCAGCTTCTTAAAGAAGGGGCTAAAGACTCTTAAACTCTAGAAAAGAGAAGAACTCAACTCCAATATTCGCCACTTATTTATCAACCTATAAATACTAATTATCCCCCCTTTTTCCCACTGCCTTTACGATGAAGAATTAACAATCGCTCATCTTATTTATCTAGACCTCAAGGAAAACTCTTTGATTCTCCTTTTTCACCAAGGTTCCTTGCCATAATTTTCTTCCACCTTCCCACACAATAGCGAGCAAAAAGAGAAAAGGATAATACCTCATCTTTCAATATAGTAGACTTCTCACATTTTTTTAACTTTCTCATGCTTTTTCACCTATTTCCCTCTCTCAATCTCTAGTCTGTAATTTGGCCTATCTTGGTCTCTAGTATTTTTCAAAAGAGGCAATAAAAGAGATCATGCATGTATTGTTAGCCAATTATCCTTAATAGAGGTTCTTTCTTAATCTATTATTCAATCTTCCTCCTATTTATGATGTTTCTTAATATTTAACAAAGGTTTTAAGAGCTACATGTTTGTTTTATATATTTCTTAGATGAAATCTTGTATTTTTATTTAGATTGTTAGATTAACACATGCAGTAAAGCCTTATTATGATCTTATTATTTTTGTGGGTATTATGCAAAGAAAGGAAGGTCTTGACTCTTGATTAAGAAATGCTGCTTAGAATGTTATATTCCTAGAGTGTTATATTTCTTTACAATGTAATAATTCTATCAATCAATTTATTTGTAGACATGCTTATTGTATAACCTTCCCTAAAGATACTTAAGAAGAGTGATCATGATCTTAAGACTACTGCACTTAATATGATCATGCATAAGCTTTGTGATTATATCTTGTGTTGAACTTTCTTCTGTTGATCCAGATATTACTTATCTATTATCTTGTTTGCTTTAGGTTGTGCTCAATAATGAGTTGATAGTAGGATAAGATGATAATCTGCAAAGGCAGGAGTTTGGACCAATGACGTATGGGAGGCCCACATTACATATGCAATACGCCTGATTTTACATGAGTTAGTTGTTAGTTCTAACGTTTTACAGATAATATAATTGATCACTTGATTACACTCGTAAACATAAAATGCTTGTTAGCAATAATCCATAATTTTCGGTATTCTATCCAGCTACTTGCAGTGCATAGTTTCAGTATTTTATCCATGTTGTTTTTCCATCCAAATGTTTTCCTATGCAGGTTTAATTTATCTTATACAGATACAATACTTGTTTTCCTATACAGCTGTAATCCCTGCCTGTACATTATACATATAAATACTTGCTAATCCTTATTGTGTAACTTGATTATATGTAGATAAAACATTTGACCTCGTTTATTTATTCTTGTTTCCATGATTAGGTTATTGCAATCTTACAGATACATAATTGATTATTGCTATATTAGCTTATTATCATATTAAGTAATCAAGTATTGAATGGAGAATCTAATGAATCGACAATTACACTGAGCTAGCTCACTATTTAATCCCTATCCTTGCATCACTTCCAGTACAATTGCGATTGAATATATATAGATATATGTGAGCTACCTCGGTGTAATTACTCAGTTATTGAATTCTTGCCTTGATTCTCAATTTAAGGTGTTTTCCTAAGGAGTTACACATTACATGCTATTTCACTTGGTTCTTGAGTTTTGACTTTTACCAGGAAAGATTGAAATGTGGAGACCTTTGTTGGTTACCTGGAGATAACACTGAACATTATAGTTGTTATAATCTAATCATGCTAAGATTTTAAGATTTAGTATATCAGCATGTAATTTAATTATTAATGTTTATATATTTTGTATAAACAATTTTTTTCTGGCCAGTTGAAATAAAGATTTAGGCCATTGCCATATCAGGAATTGGAGAGTTTGGACTTCAGGATTTGGTTACCTTTTGGTAGTGTGAAGCCAGAAGAGACTGTCTTCAAGTTGTCTTTAAAAGATAGCTGTTCGTAATGTTGAATTCATGCATATTTTAAGTCATTAATTTTTATTTGATTTTAAAAGGGTAGCTAAGATCATAAAGATTATGTCAGCACGTATTGTGGTTTAATTCTGAAATTTGAAATAAATTTTTGCATTGTGTTAGTTTAAGAATTGATTTAAAGTTTACGCTAATTACTTGTTATCTAGAGTTTATCAATCATCATATATCAATGCTAGACATTTCAAGTCATTCTAGTTCACTCAAAATGCTTTCAAGTGACTCGAATTTGGCTCCATTAGAATTTTCCATCTCAAATCGGTATATTTTGAGTGAGACAACTCAAATAACTCTTCGATTATGAGTATAGCTAAGCTTGATCATTCCAAATTAGAGTTAGGTTTGACTTTTTCTCAAACTGAACTCCATGTCACCATTAGAAAATATATGACTATCTTTTATTTAAAAAACATATTTACATAAGCATAATCCAACATAATAAGCATGTATGCATTCCAGGGCTCAATGTTTTTGGATTCAAATATAGTACCCTTATCTATACTCCATGGATACATCAATCATATTGATCAATCAAAAACGCCGCAACGCTCGCATTTCACACAGCATCATATTCTCAACAGTACGAAACTCAAGTTGTGAAGAAGAATGGCTCAATCAAACCCCCCCATTGCAGCCAAACATTGTGTGCAATTTAATTCCTTCAAAAGAATCTCCTCCAATTCAATGCCGCTCAAATAACTCCCCTCCTATCTATCACATCAGTGCATTTGCACACGATATATATAGATCTCTATTCATCAATGAAAATCATCATCTCTCTCATCCTGCACCCATCCATGCCTCTTTCTTGAACTTCTACACCGTTTTGTACCTGCAATTGTGCAAGTCCCAAATCTCCCTCTCTAAATGTTCTCTCTGAGCCAATCCAAGCCTCTCGCTCACACTCTTACTGTAGCACGAATACCTCATATCTCGTCAATCCTAGAGAAGCCCACAAGCTACTCCTGCCCTTGCATCTCTCACTTGAATCTATTGGTCTCGCATTATTGTGAAAATTCTTCTCCTTCTCTAGCTAATGTACCTAGCCTTTCACCACCGTAGCTATGATTACACCAACTTCAAGATCGCATTGCACTCGTGACCTTCCTCCTTCAATTTATTCACTTCTATAGTCAATTGGAAATCCCATGACCAGCAAGCTTCCTCAGCTCATGATAACTTCAAGACAAGTAAAATTCTCATCTCAGCCTCTCCATACGATTTTGCATTAGATAAATCCCCTTGCACACAAATG